AAAGGAGTTGATCCAGTTCGACTGGCTGTCTCGTCCGGAGGCCCAGCGGAGGCCCAGGATAGTCTGAAGTACGTCCTGGTGGTCAAGGATGTCATGAACAGCTTCGTCAGACTGCATGCAAGTGCGACGGCGACAGCTGCGGAGAGGGCCGCTCCCCTAATGGAGTGGTTTGGACTCTGTGGTGACCACGAGGGTCTCTGACTGCGGGTCACACTTCAAGAACGACGTGATCACGCGGATGAGTCGTATGTTCGGTGCGCACCACCCTTTCGTGACGCCACATTGTCTTTGGGCGAACGGGACGGTTGACGTTGTCAACCGAGTTATCGTTCGGACCCTGAAGGCCCTGTGCAGTGAGCTACATTTGCAGTCAACTGAGTGGCCGGCGCTACTTCCAATGGTGCAGAGTGCCCTGAACCAGCAGCCTGCTGACCGCCTGGATGGGGTAGCACCGGTCAGAGCGTTCATCGGATTGTCTGCGACGCCTCCCTTGGCTGGTCTGGTCCACCAGGATGGTGTCCAGGATGTATCCATCGATTGGGTCAAGTCCGAGACAATTCGTCATGTCACTGAGCTTGATGAGGCCCTCACTGTGGCGCACAAGCATGCTGCTGCGACGGTTGCGCAGAAGCGTGCGAAGGCTCGTAGTACCGATCAGGACGACGCGCCGTGAAGTTCGAGACGTTTTCACTGGGTGACTTCGTCCTGGTTGCCAGGGCGCTGTAGTACCTTGGCAAACTTACGTTGCGTTGGAAGGGTCCATACCGTGTCGTGAAGGTGGTCTCGGACTACCTGATAAAGGTGCAGCAACTTGTTCCGCCCGGGGGCACGTCATTGCACCGTACGAATCGACTGCGGTCGTACTGTGAAGGGAGGAGAGCAGTTACGAAAACGAGAAGGCCTAGATTGAGTTCGACAATGAAGGTTTTTCGTTGAAGAACTACAAGACCTGCTCATGCATGACGGCGCATGGCAAGTGAAGATCAAATGCGGTCCTTTATTCCGTGAATGGATTGGAAAGAGAGTAGCGGTATCGAACCGAATTACAAGAAATAACCTGTAGTAATTGAGCTAAGAACGATATACCGATGACTTTGGCCAAGTTGAGAGAGCATCGGTTTACTGCTTCAAAGGACATATTGTTTCCACCCCCGGCTTCCGTGGCATTTTTGGTCCATGACATCCTCCTCTCCCCCTACGGAATTCAGACATCAAGACTCCTTACCACTGCACTTCGCCGAAGAACAGGTCGGCCACGGACCAATGCTTGGACCCATCAGCAAGTACGTTTGCTGAGTCTGGAACTCTACCACGGTTATTTGTAACCACCAGGGGTGGTAAAAACCCGATTTTCTTCGCCTGACAAAACGGGTTTTTGGTTTTAATTTTTAATATCAATTCTTGGATTAAAATCATGGATTTATTCGGGTGTCATTTGTCGTTGCTGACATGATCGGAATCACTCTCGCTGGCTTAGTTGTCGCCCGTCGGACAACTGTAGAACGCACCCATCTTGCTCTTGATGAACACGAACTTCTCGACAGGGTATGAAGCCCATCGTTCAGAAGTTTCGCTCGGACGCGGCACTAGACGTCGCCATTGTTCGTCCTTCACGGCTTCCGACCGCAAAGTTACCTTCTTCGTAAGGTAAGTCCAAGACTGTATTACTTCAGGAAGACCGCGGGGTCAGCAGCCTCGTGGCTACTGACTAGCATACTAACGTAATACTACGAACTAGGTCATCAACAGGGCTACTAGAGCCACGGTGTTGGACGGTCACCGTGGATTGCAGTGGGTCAAACAATCGGGCGACCCAACTGCCCTGCACAGCAGAACACTTCCCTCTCCTAAGGGAGTCCTAGGTTGGTCATCATGTACAAGACATGATCTTCGTCCTTGTGGGCTGCGCACCACTTGTGCAGCACGACCGGTATGTCTTCAAGTTCTCGGCCGGCTCCCACGGCGACTCCTCGGCATCTAGGCCGAGCCACTTGACGCGCACTTTATAGCGGCCGTTCACCGCCAAGCGCTTCTTTTAGGCGCTCCACATGGAAACCGCCATCGCCAAATGCGATCTGATCAATGCGGTCTTCCGCCTTCATGGTACACCTTCAGACGGCTCGTATGATAGGTGGATAATCCAAATGGAGGCACCAGCTGTTGAGTCTCCATAACGTGGTCCGTGACCACGCGCACAACTTGTTCTGGCCCGCGCCACTGCTGCGCGAGTTTTGTCGGCCGTTGGACGACAGCACCGACCAAAACAAAATCGCCCACCCTAAAGTTGGCAAACTTGGCACGCGTTTTCTTGTCATGCCGTTGTCTTGTCGTCGCAGCTTGGCGCTGTGCGAGTGCATATCACAGTGCAACGCGTCCATGGCGATCTTGAGGCTCGCCATATGTTTGTCACGGACATCATCGAGCATGTCCTTGCACGTCACTTCCTTCGTAACCGGTTGTACGAACCCTGATAGAGGTGTCTTTGACTTCAGACCTGTAAATGCCGTCACAGGTGCTACACCACCGAGCCTGCCAGAAGGCTGGTAATGGCAGGACTAGGTGCCATTCGTCGACACGCAACTTCATCTCGCTGAGCAAGGCCTTCAGCGTCTGTAGCGCAAGACGGTTGACTACTTCAACTGTTCCATTTGCCCAAGGACTGTACCGTACGCTGTCGTGATGCGGTGGTGTGTTCCCACCATCTTGCCCACTTTTTCGACGACTTCTTCCTTGAAATGCGATCCACCATCAGATAACCATGTGTCCACGCAGCCATATAGCGTAAACCAGGACATTAACGCAGCTGCTGTACTGGACGCGTCAGCGACCTCAGCTGGATACAAGTGGACGACCCGCTCATATCGTCCTGATGACAAGGACGTGTTTCAACCCACTTGACGACTCTGGCATCGACAGCCAGTCAAAGTGAATCAGTTCGTTCGGCTTCTCGGCGTGCAGGGCCGAGCCCAACGGTCGAGGGACCATATCTCCATCCACTTGGAGACAATGAAGGCACGCTCTAACAAACGTTTCCACATCTTGGACCAGTGTGGACCACACATACATGTCTCCCACCGATTTTGTCGTGGCAATTCGACGGTGTCCAGCCGCGCCTTGATGAGAGATAACGCAGAGGCGTTGCTGTAGGGATACGGCACCGTCTGGCACAAAGATTCGCCCCTCTGGGTTCATGTAGTAGGAGTCGTCCTCGCTCCAGGCCACGCCAGGTGGAATGGCCGCACCCTCGTCCAATGATGACGTTAGGGCGTCCAAAATTGACAAAGCAGTTAGCCTTTGAAATTCGACTGCTGCAGTGGAGATACCACGTGCAGCAGGTTGCGGATATATGCCACAGGCAATACAGATAGCGTCGAACCCCAGCGACTAAGAAGGTCGCCCCACACGTTCACGTCGGTCGGTAGGCACTCGATCGAATATGGGAATGACGACATGATCAATGCCCACCGTTGAAGCTTGTCAGACTGGTATTTAGCGAGATTGCCGTTTGACCCGTAGGGTTAAACATGTAGACGAGGTTGCGATGGTCCTTGAGCAGACGGAACACACTAGGCCGTATCAACAGGCAGTCGAACCGCTTGCAAGCCTCAACCACAGCGAACACCTCATTCTCGACAATCGGCCAACGCGCGCTTGCACCACCAAAGAAGCCGCTGAGGAACGCCAGCGGCTCGTGTCTTAGCTGTTCTAAATGCTGTTTCAAGTCGTCTGGCGGTACTTGCGTGGCCACCGCGCCCCAGAATCGATCGCTTACGTCAGTAAAGATGAACACCTCCATGTCAACGCGAGGATGCGACAGGGGCACCAAATGCTTCAACGCCGTCTTCACGTCCTCGAAGCACGCGGCATGGTCATGGGACCAACCAACGGCCGCGATTTCCACTCGCGCCAGGCCGTATTCTTGCTACTTTTCGTCGCCTTGGTGGCTACGTCCATGAGACGTCAGAGAGGGTAGATTGCCCGATTGTAGTCAGGAATGCTGGCACGCATCCAATTCGTTGCACGCACAAACTGCTGCAGGTTGGCAGCAGTTGTTGGAGGTTCCAAATTAACAAGACCATTAATGCGGCTGGGTGAATGCTTCACGCCAGCTGCCGAAATCACTTTGCCGCACCATTCAGCTTCACGCAAGAAGAAATGACACTTCTTCGAACTGAGCTTCAGCCCGTACACAGCGTAGATGGACAGCACTTGGTCCAACAAATCGAACAAGTCCGCCGTCGTCTTGGCGGACCCAAGGAGGTCGTCTAACCACGCTAGCAGACCACGGAACAAGAGGTCGCCAAACACTTGGTGCCCGACAGACTGGCAGTACGCCACTGCATCAGTCTGTCCCATGAGCACACGGGTTGGCGTGTAGACGCCAAAGGGGGTCATGAAAGAAAAATATTCTTGTGAGTCAGGGTGCAACGGCAGCTGCCAGTACCCTTTGGTCCAGTCCAAGGTGAAGTAGACAC